TGTTTGCTTTTGTGCTATTTCAGTGAGGATAAAAGGTGACAAAATTCTCGAAAGCAGGTGGCCCTGCAGTGAGTTCAGCAAGGTTTCTGATTTCACTGAGGGAGCAACACTTGGTTTAATGTCTTTTCTGGACTATGTAGAAGCTTTTTTTACTGCTGTTTCATGCTAGCTCCCTGGTATCCCAGCAAGCGGTGAGAGTAATCACTGTTGCTAATGTAACAATTTTACTACAGTTATTGCAGGTGGCTAATTTCACATTTATAAAAGTTTCAGCACGTACAGTATCTTGCTGGGATAGATGGCTGCCACCTTAGTCTGCCTTTGAAAATGGCCCTAAGTAACAGGAACCCAGTGTGCCCATGAGGGTTTCTTCTGACATTATGTAATGGGTGTAGGTTTCTGCAGGGACACAGGCACCATCTGTGCGTGCCATACCATGGGTGGGGAGTTCTCAGGGAAGACTGGCAGTGGAAAAGTGACCAGAAGATAGGCAAAATCAGTCAAACAGAGTGAGAAGGGGCTTTAAAAAAGAAGACAATGTCCTGCAAAGCTGCTTGGAGCAAAGGGAAAATTGCTTTCTGAAGAGTATTTAGGTCCCTTTGATCTTTCTGTGTCCAGATTGCCAAAGGAACCTGGGACAAGTGCTGGTTTGGGGACAGGGCAGAGGATGCATAGCTTCTGGAGAAGGCTGAGTAATACTGGTGGGGCTGTCCTGTGCTGTCACATCACACATGATACTTGCTCCTGTCTGTGAGATAACCTGCTGTCTCCTGAGTCTTTGGAATGTGCTCTGGATCCAGGTGATCTTGTTTAATGGTTAGGTCCATCCATAGACACATTGCTCTGACCACTGCATGCCCAATAGGCTAATGAAGCTTGCAGATCCTTTCTAGTCAAGGTGAACTTCCCACTGCTCTGCCCCCCAGCTTGTGCCATCCACCAGGCTTGTTTGCTTTTTACCAGCTCTTCTGCACTTAATGGAAGCAGCTTTGACACTCCTGTCCCAGTTCTTTGCCGGCCGTACCACCAGTGATAAGATTTTATGCAGAGGAACAGTAAAGTTTGGGCTCTTCTCCTCCTTCCCTTCTGTCAAGGAGATTTTCTTCCTGCTGGAAAAAAAAAACCCTGAGCTTTTTGCTGACCAGGCAAGTCTGCAGGGTATGTATGCAAAGGCAATGGAAATGACCAGCTGCTCTCTGAGGCCTAATGGTAAGAGGCAGAATACATGTTCATTCTCCCCAAGCAGTTTGCTGTATGGTAACTGAAGATTGAAGTTTCGATGGAGGGTTTCTGGGTCTATTTATGAGCAAGTTAATGTAGACTGTTTCATCTGCAGAGAAATTACCAAAGAACTTCCCATCCTACAAAATTTGCTCTGTTTAACTTAACAGCTTAACAGACTTGTCTGAAGTCTTTATTGGGGCAAGAATGAACTTTACTGCTTTTAAAAGTTTTATATTTGTTATTCCTGAACCCAGGTTTTGAAATATGGGAAATTCCAAAAGACAAAGAGATTCTATAGAAATCCTGTCTGCATTGTTTTTCAGAAGCATGGAAACATAAAACATATCCTGACAGGATTTGCTCCTGAATATTCTGAAGCAATCTGTTAGCATTTTGACTTTAATCTTCTCCATATAGTTCTGACCCTCAGTAGATTATGATCCTGTTATACCTCACTCAGATCTAAACTAATCATACGCAGAACTTAACTATTCATATCCTACTTCCAGAGTTTAGCACTATCAACAAATTCCAAATAAACAATGTAAATCAATTTAGGGCTTGTAATTTATTTATTTTTCTGTTTCACGATGCTTTAATGCCAGCATGTTCCTTTTCAGGTTGAAAACCATCCCAGAGCTGATGTACAGACATTTGGCAAATTCATATGAGCACAGCCCAGTACAGGGAGTGGGATGAGGATTCTAAAGCAGTTCTGACAGTGAGACTCACAGGAGCATGGTTTGCATGTTAGGGAAGCAGTCTCCCTGCCAGCAGTTTCGAGGAAAAAAACTGGAGAGGGGGACAAAAGAAACTACTGAAAACATGATTTATAAGAAGACACTGGATCCCAGTGTCATAAACGCAAGTACCTTACCTTGTGCTGAACCAGCATGGCCCAAGTCTGAACATAGACAGACTGGTCTCCAAGGGAGTTCATCCCCAGTTAACACAGCATGAGCTATGAGAAGGCAACCAGTCCAGGTGATAAAGCAGTGTAATGGGCACACTCACACAAGACCCTTGCACCTTCTACTTTGGATGAACTTTGGATTTCATATTCATTTCTTGGAATCACAGAATGGTTTGGGTTGAAAGGGACTTTAAAGATATCGAGCTCCAACCTCCCTGCCATGGGCAGGGACACCTTCTACTAGACCAGGTTGCTCAAAGTCCCATCCAGCCTGTCCTTAAATGGGACATCCACAGCTTTTCTGGACAACCTGTGCCAGTGCCTCAACATCCTCATAGTAAAGAATTTTTTCCTAATATGTGATCTAAACCTACTGCCTTTCAGTTTGAAGCCATTCCCCCTTGTCCAATCACTGTATGCCCTTGTAAAAAGTCCCTCTCCAGCTCTCTTGTAGGCCCTCTTTAGGCACTGAAATGTGCTCTAAGGTGTCCCTGGAGCCTTCTCTTCTCCAGCTTGAACAGCTCCAATTCTTTCAGCGTTTCCTCATACCAGAGGTGCTCAAGCCCTCTGGTCATCTTAAGTGTCCTCCTCTGGTCTTGCTCTAACACTTCTATGTCCTTTCTGTGCTGGGGATCCCAGAGCTGGATGTGGTACTCCAGGTGGGGTCTTACAAGAGTGGAATAGAGGTAAAGAATCACCTCCCTTGACCTGCTTGACCATGCTTCTTTTGATGCAGCCCAGGATATGATTAGCCAATATCAGTTTATCTATAACTAATATATTTAGAGTTTTTGTAATGGTTAAGAAAACAGCCTTCAGTAGGTATGAAGTTTCATGCCAAATAAGCTTTCCTTATAAGCCTGGTATCCTTCTGAGTATCTACTGTGGGCCACTAGAAACCTGATGGGTGGGTATCATACCAGGTAATTTCTCCACCTATGTTGGTCTTTAGGTAGCTAAATGCTGCATCCCTCTCACCTGGTACTGAAATTACAGGAGCCACAGCTAGACAAGGAATATTAAACCTGGCCTCTTGCATTATAGAACAAAGCACATAATCCATAATTTATAGTTGCTTTCACATTCCCAGGCCCTAAATGAATGCTGTAATACTTGAGTTGCAACTATTGAAGGGAGTGATTTACTTATTTTATGAGATTGTTTCCATTGCTGTTATTTTTAAATTCATGGAAATGTTCCTGTTAGACACTTCATTTTTATTAAAGCTTGTTTTTGCACTGCACAAATGCAGGCTGTGCAGTGACACATGCAGTAGTACTCCTTTAACCCCATGGATTTTTCCATCCACTTAAAAATATTTTTCTTCTGTATGTAATGCTTTATTTTGCACAAGGATGCAATTAAGACAATTTAATTCTTTAGATGTATAGCAAGACCTCTTGTTCTCTCTTAGAACAGTCAAAAGATCTTAAAATGTTTGTTCTTTTCTGTTAATTTGGGAGCAAATGTTATTTATTTAAATCTCACTCACAGACAAGGCTGCATGTTGAGTGTTGTTCAGGAGTGAGACAACTCAGTAAGTTTCCTTGTTTCTCCCTGCACCTCAAAGTCCTTTGTGGCAGCAGTCTGGGCAATGCCAAGGGGTGTGCACAGGGGCTCCTGTCAGGAGCCACCAGGACTGGCGCACGGGACAGGGTAACAGCCAGGGGTAGGGTCACCCCAGCACAGACTCATCCCAATTCCACTGCTCGTCGCTTGCAGTGAGGCACGTGGCCACTCTGGACTTTGGGCTAGAGCAAAGGCTTGGCAAAGGTGAGCTAGCAGCAACTTGTCTTTGGTATGTTTAGGTTTCTTAACTGATGTTGAAAAATCCTATCTAGTGAAAGTGCTATTATTGGTACCTGCTTGTTTGTGGCAGTGTTTAGGAGCTCTGAGACAGGAAAGCATAGAGGTGGCCACTGCTGGACTTTCCACTGAAATGGATCACTTAACTTGGAAGAAGTCATCATTGATTTTCTTCCTTGGTCTCTAAAGGAGACTCTGAGATCACATGTAACTCTCCTAAGTGGTAAACAGGTGTTATAAAAGCTGTTTTGTACTCTGCAAGTACAGGTGGAGTCTTAGCATGGCGATAGGCAAGGTCTAAGAGCACTACTTCCCACCTGCATAAGCTGCATGGATGATCACAAAGGAAGGACCTTCTCAGGGGAAAACCATGTCAAGGAGGCTTTACTCTGCTTTTAAGAGTGGCTGGAGTGCAGAGTAGAATGAAAATGCAGTCATCTGTGAGCCACTTCTCCCAGATACTGCGGGGGAGATTTCCATCTGGAGCTAGGTTTTATGGCAGCCATTGATCTGTGGAATAAAACATTTTGCAAAAGGCTGGAAAAATAAGCAAAGTCATATTATATTCGAAGAAAACAAAAGTCATGCTCATCTCATGCTAGATGTGGTCATGCTGCAAATTGTACTTCTTATTGGAAATGAAAACAATCTCTGAGAGCTAACCTGTTTATAATCTTCCATGTTCTCCATAGCCATAGGAGAGTGTCAACACATAGTAGAAGTAGAACTTAAAGGGTAGTTCCTAAAACCTTTGTCTGTTTACAATGAATGTTCAAAAGCTTTGTTCAAATTTCACTAAATGAAAAGAATTTTCACTTTCAAGGTGTCTTACTATTGCCTGATAAATAGATCTAAAAATAAATGAAGTGATTTGTTGGTTTTCTTCCTCCTGGACCTGATAAATAGATCTAAAAATAAATGATTTGTTGGTTTTCTTCCTCCTGGGTGTGGTGTCTTTGTTATCTGGTTACTGGAGAAAAATGAACATTTGGCAGAAACAAAAATAATAGG